ACCATATGTGTCTTTCTGCTTCAGGGATACCTCACTCAGGATGATCTTTTCTAGTTCCTACCATTTGCCTGAAAATTTCATGATTTCTTGTTTTTAATTGCTGAGTAGTATTACATTGTGTAAATGTACCACAATTTCTGTATCCATTCCTCAATTGAGAGACATCTGGGTTGTTTCCAGATTCTGGCTATTATGAATAAAACTGCTATGAACATGCTCAATCCTCATTCAGAAAGGCAAATGGGATGGACATTGGAAGAAGGTAAAAACAAGGAATAAGACAGGAGCCTACCACACACGGCCTCGAAAGACTCTACCCAGCATGGTATTAGAGCAGAAGCTGAGACTCATAGCCAAACTTTGGGCAGAGTGCAGGGAATCTTATGAAAAAAGGGAGATAGAAAGACCTGGGAGGGTCTGGAGCTCCACAAGGAGAACAACAGATCCAAAAAATCTGGGCCCAATGTCTTTTCTGAGACTGATACTCCAACCAAGGACCATTCTTGGAGATAACCTAGAACTCCTGCACAGATGTAGCTAGCTGTTGGCAGCTCAGTTGCCAAATGGGCTTCCTAGTTAGGGGAACAGGGGCTGTGTCTGACATGAACTTAGTGGTTGGCTCTTTGATCACCTCTCCCTGAGTGGGGAGCAGCCTTCCAGGCCATAGAGAAAGACTATGAAAGACAGTCCTAATGAGACCTGATAGGCTAGGGTCAGATGGAAGGGGAGGAAGTCCTCTCATATCAGTGGACTGGGGAAGGGACATGGTAGGAGATTAGGGGGGAAAAGAGGGGTGGGAGGTGGGGGCTACAGTTGGGATACAAAGTGAATAAATTGTAATATAAAAATTATATTATAAAAAATAAAAATAAATAAATGAGAAAAAAGCATTTTAAAAGGTGGGAACTTTTAAAAATTGATATCTGTCATTTGATGTTTCTAGTCATTGTTGACAGATGTTTGCTTTAGGATTTACTAAAATGTTTTACTTAGGATTGTGTTGATTTTTTTTTTTTTTTTTTTTTTTTTGCTGAGATGATATTAGCCCTTCCTCAAGCCCAAGTTCAAAATCATTTTTGAAGGGACCTATGATGTTTTGTTTGAGGAGCTATTGTAGAACAGTATGAGATAGAGTGCAGTCCTGTAAAGGGACCACAGTGTTCTCACTATGTGTTTGAACCTGTAAGTGCTTAGGAAATAGCATTGGTTCCTGGAATATTTGGTTCTATTGTAAGGGAGTCATAGTGGGGAATTGTGAAAGAACATGAATGTGGGTGAGTGAAGGAGTTTGGCTAGAACATGGATCTTTTGGTCTTAGATTCTTAGAAATTAGAGTGACATGAGAGTCACACTTTAGGAAGGTAGATTTGATTTTTGGGTTTGGACTCGTGCTACATATGCATGAATGCCCGAGTTCTGGTCCTTAGCATCCCTGCAAAAATAGCCTCTGGGCCTGCGACTAGTGCTGCCACGGAAGGATAAGGACACAGGAGGATGAAAAACAACTGAAAAACAGTGAGGTCCAGGTTGTGTAGATCCTCTCTCAAGGGAATATGATAGAGCAGTACTCTATCTTCCTCTGGGCTGCACATGAAGTTTGATCTTGAAACAGTTTTGGCTTAAAGCAGTGATTCTGGTTAAGGGTGAGATGGCTCAGAAGATAAAGGTGTCTCACAACCTGTGTTCCATTCCCAGGATTCACATGGTAGATGGAGTGGACTGTCTCCCACAAAATGTCCTCTGACACACAAAATAAAATGTAGTAAAAATTTTACAACAAAAATCCAGTCCTTGGTGCCTACTTTAAAACTGGTGACTACTGGCCAGTGGCTATCTTAGGCTTAATGCTTGTCAGTTCTGTTTTGTACAACCCTGCTAAAGGACTATTAGATCAAAACTGAAAGGTCAAAGAATAGCTCATTTGTTGCAAGAACCCTAGGCATGGATTAGAGCGCAGATAGTGAGAATGAAAGGGAGGGAGGAACTGAAAACCCAGCATTTGGGAGGTTGAGACAGAGTAGGATGGAGAATTCAAATCCAGCCTTGGCTACATAGTGAGACCTTGTTTTCAAAAACTGGGGACTGGAAGAGGTAGGAGAATTGTCAGATTTGGGGAGATAACTGACTTTTTTGATATTGTAAGAGTTAAAATGATAGTTATATATCAACGTTCTGGGGGAATTGAAATGTTGATGTTGTTGGCCTTTTTATTTTCTTTTCTCCTCCCTTCCCTCTTCTTCCTTCCTTCCCCCTCTGTTGTATGTATGCATGCATGCATCCATCCAGTGATTGAATTTAGGACGACCAAGTTATAGCTCCACCCCTTTTAAAAATTTTATTAGGAACAAGGTTTTATTGGGTAAAGTTTAGGCTAGTGTCAAACTAGCAAACCTCATGGCTTAGTCTCCTTTGTAGCTATAATTACAGGTATGTGCAACCACAACCAAACCTGTATTCAATTATTTTGTTGTTGTTTTGATTTTTGAGACAGGGTTTCTCTATGTAGCCATGGCTGGCCTTGAACTCACACAGATCTGCCTGCCTCTGCCTCTCAGAGGGATGAGATTACAGGCTTGTGCCATCGTGCCTAGCTCTCAACTGTGTTTTATATGTAGCTTTTATTTCTCAGTGCTGCATTTGTGTGTGTGTGTGGAGGGAGGCTAGTACTGAACTAGTGACTATTCCATATGCAACAGTAATTGGAAAATTCATACCTCTAAGCTTTCGTTTGATAAATGTGACCACAAAAATATTTGACATATTATGTGGCCACAAAAGCATTTGATATATTAAAAATTTTTTTTTCAGTTACTATAAAAGAAAATAAAAACAGACTGGAAAAAGTTGCAGTACATGTGCAATAAAAGATTAATATCAAAACATTGTAACAACTGAAACAAAAACAAAAACACTTAACTGGTAAGGACACACAAAACAGGTTACTTCCTCAACAAGGGAAAGAAAGCTCATTTATTCACTCCTTTAATGGCTACTGAGCTCTTACACCAAATATTGTTATAGATACTAATTCCTGTAACAGGAGATCTCTGAGCAATCTGGACTAGTGTGAAAGAAGACATTTCACACAAAAGAAAAATTTCAAATAGTGATGATTCTATTAAGAAAATAAGAGGAGTCAGGTGTGGTGGTACATGCTTTTAATCCTAGCATGTTGGAGGCAGAGACAGAAAGATCTCCATGTTTGAATCCAGCCAATGAATTTCAGACATGAAATTCTAATGAATTTCAGACCAGCCAGGGCTGCACAGTGAAACCCTGTCTCAAAAAAGGGCTGGAGAAATAGCTCAGTCAGTAAAGTGCTAAGGAACCAAATTAAATCTCTAAACCCCATGTTAAATAAAACAAACCAAACCTGAATGCTTTGTGTTTGTAATCCCAGTGTTGGGAAGGTGGAGACAGGGGCATCCCTGGAACTGGGTTTAAGGTCTCCTCAACTGGAAGGCTGGGTATGATGGTATATGCCTTTAATCCCATCACTCAGAAGGCAGAGGCAGGCTGATCTCCGTGAGTTCCAGGATATCCAGGGCTAAACAAAACAACGAGAAGAAGGAAATTGTGCCTGGTACTGGAAACCTAGTCAGCTCTACCCCACATTTGTGGAGTCATAGATCTTGAAGGAGAACCTACAACTGCCACTTGACTAAACCAATATAACCCTTAGTTACATTCTAAATAGTTACACTTGTACCCATAGATTAGTGTAGTTCTCACCCCATCAAGGAAACTTGTCTTTGCAACAGATGGCAACCATTACAGAAAAACCACAACTGATCAAAATGCAGAGTTTTGTGGAGCACAGTCACCACTGATACATCTTCAACACCGCTCCTACATTTAAAGTTCAGGACCCATCCATAAAACCTTCAACCCAAAAATTGTCATGCCTACAAGAAGTGTAGGGATTAAGATGGAGCAGAAATTGAGGGAATGGCAAACCAATGACCGCCTCAACATGAGACCCACTCTATGGGAGAGAGCCAACCTCTGTCACTATTAATGATACTCTGCTATTCTTGCAGACAGGAGCCTAACATAACTGTCTTCTAAGAGACTTCATCAAACAGCTGATGGAAGCAGATGCAGAGACCCACAGTCAAACAATAGGCTGAGCTCAGGGAGTTTTGTGTAGTAGGAGGAAGGATGGAGGGAGCCAAAGGGATCAAGGACACCACAAGAAGACCTACAGAATAAACTAATGTAGGCACAGGGAGGTATACAGAGACGGAACCACCAACCAAAGAACATGCATGGGCTGGACCTAGACCCCCTAGATCTATGTAGCAGATGTGCAGTTTGGTCATCATGTGGTCCTCTGACAATGGGTGTAAGGGCTGTCTCTGACTCTTTTGCCTGCCTCTGGATCCCTTTTCCCTAGCTGGGCTGCCTCGTCTGGCCTCAGTGGGAAAGGATGCGCTTAGCCCTGCTGTAACTTGAAGTGCCAGGGTGGATTGGTACCCCCTTCTCTGAAAAAAAGGAGAGGGGGTTGAAGGAAGAGGCATGAGGATGGGACTGGGGGGGGGGGCGGGGTTTAGGCTGTAAACCAGCCTGGTCTACAGAGTCCAGGACAGCCAGGCTACACAGAGAAGCCTTGTCTTGAAAAACCAAAACCAAAATAAAATGCAAAACAAAACCACCAAACAAACAAATAAATGGTTCTTATGTGAAAACTTATATTTTTAAGGAGTTCCATGAGCAAATATTTTTGTTTTTTATATATTACTGGAGATTGATCTGAAGACACACAAAGAAAGATTGATGGCTGTTATTTTGCACATTATTTTTAATTAATCAGAGACTTTTTAGGTTCTGAGAAAGACATGATGGAAGAGGAAAAGAAATTTCCATTTTTACTGTTCAGTAAATGACTGTTGGGAATGTCGGGAGAGGCTTTTGGACATAGAACTGAAACAGTAACTCTCATGAGTCAGCCTTTGTGTCCCTTAATTCTGACGACCTTGTGTACCATGTTTTCTTTTAAGGGAACCTTGAACATAAGCTCTAAAGAAGATTTGATTTTTATTTCTGGACTGCATATACCTTATAAAGCCATCAGAATGTCGGGAGCCTCAGTGAAGGTCGCTGTTCGAGTGAGGCCCTTCAATTCTCGAGAGATGAGCAAGGAGTCCAAGTGCATCATTCAAATGCAAGGCAACTCTACCAGTGAGTACACGTGTTTCTCCATCAGTGCATACTCACCTTCCCTTTCTGCTTCTCACCGTGAGCAGAGCAAATGATCATCATCGCCGTTCACAATGATCTATTGAGTGTCTTCCCGTCAGGACTGTTTTCTGCAGAATTTAAATATAAGCTGTTTGTTTCATTCTTTATAATTGGGATAACCTAAATAGCTGGAATGTTGATGCTTACTTACCAAGTTTAGATTCTATGACAGGTATAAGCAGTGATTTTTTTTTTTTTTTTTTTTTTTTTACCAAATTCTGAAGTAAAATATAACTTTAATACCCTCCCAACTTTTTTCTTTCTTTTATTAGGTACAATTTGAGCTTGCTAAAACGTTTCTTAAAACTTATTCTCTTGGCTGGATGGTGGTGGCACATTCCTTTAATCCCAGAACTTGGGAGGCAGAGGCAGGTGAATCTCTGTGAGTCTGAGGTCAGCCTGGTCTACAAAGCGAATTGAGGACAGCCAAGGCTACACAGAGAAACAGTGTCTTGAAAAACCAACCCAACCCAACCCAAACAAAACCAACGAAACAAACAAACAAAAATCCAAAACCAAACCAAACCAAAATGAAAAAAAGTATTCAAACATATTTTCTTGATTTTTAATGGTTGATTTGAGCATTGGTTGTAATATACAGTAAAATACCAAGCCTGGTGGCACACACCTATAAATCATAGCACTTGGGGCATTGAGGCAGATAGAAGTTTGAGGCCAGACTGAGCTGCAAAGTGAGTTCCAGGCTAGGGCGGCTATATAATGAGTCTATCTTGAAAAATGCAATATAGTCAACATATACTGAAACAGTCATTTCTTCCTAACTTGTTTCTCTATTAAAATGCTTAAATAAAAGTGACTTAAGCTTGTTTCCTTTACACTTACACTTGTATTACTAAATTATTTATATGGGTCTGTAGGCAAAATATTATTTTTAAATAGAAGTAGACCTACCATCTTTTAGTCTGTAGTTTGTAATAAATCAGAATTGATTTTTTTTTTCAGACTGGTTACTGTTACAGCCTTACAGTGGAATATTTAAAAGTTGATCATAGGGCTGGAGAGATGGCTCAGTAGTTATAGAGCACTAGCTGCTCTTCCAGAGGTCCTGAGTTCAATTCCCAGCACCCACATGGTGGCTCATAACCATCTATAATGAGATCTGGTACCCTCATAATAAACAAATTTAAAAAAAAGTTGATCATAGGAATAACATGACGTACTAAAATAACTGTGTGTGTTGCTAGTGATCTATTTGCATTAGTTACTTTTCTCATTGCTGCAACAAAGTATGTGACAAAACAACCTAGGGAAGGAAAGATTTTGGCTTCCGGTCTGAGGTGCCATCCCATTTTGGCAGGAAAAGCATAGGTGCAGGAGGGTGAGGTTGCATCAACAGTCAGGAAACAGAAAGAGAGGGACAGACAGACTGACAGACAGAGATTGCTATGTAGCTCATATTCTCCCTCCTCTCTCTTTCTCTTTTTCCTCCCCCACCTTCTCTTTTTCTGAGACAGGGTTTCTCTGTAACCTTGGCTGTCCTGGAAGTCACTTTATAGATCTGGCTGGCCTCAAACTCAGAGATCCATCTGCCTCTGCCTCCCAGGTGCTGTGATTTTTTTTTTTAAAGATTTGTTTATTTTATGTATATGAGTGCTCTATCTGCATATACACCTGCATGCCAGAAGAGGGTATCAGATTATGTTATAGATGGTTGTGAGCCACCATGTGGTTGCCAGGAATTGAACTCAGGACCTCTGCAAGAACAGCCAGTGTTCTTAACCGCTGAGCCATCAGCCCCAGGTGCTGTGATTAAAGGTGTGTGCCACCACTCCTGGCTGTCTTAATAAATGAGGTAATGGCTTCCTGAGGAATACCAGGTGAGATTGACCTGTGGTCTCCACATGGATGCATACACATATGCATGTTTACCCAGTCTCTCACACACACATACACGTTAAGACAAGAACTGTAAATGCAGGTTTTGGAAAGAGCAAATAAGATGGTTGGTTCAGTAATGAGACAGCTGTAGAGTGTGCTTGAGGAATAAATAGATTAAAGCTATTTTGAAAAAATATTTATATTTAATTTTATGTGTATAACTATGAGTGTTTTAGTCTATATGTTTATGTAAGTGTGTCATGTACATAACCTGGTACCTGAAAACACAAGAGGATTTTGATTCCCTGAAACTAGAGTTATCGGGTTGTGAGCTGTCACATGGGTGCCGGGATTCAAACCTGTGTTCTCTGTAAGAGCAGCAAGTGTCTTATTAAAAAACAGAAACAGGAAGCCTTGAACCAAGACCAATAACTCATTACAATGAACATTTACAAGTAAGGAAGTGTAGACAAAGGGTATATTGTGTGGCACACTGACACAGTGCAGCTTCTATGATGAGATTTTTTTTTTTTAATTTCTATTTTTATTTTATTTTGGGGAGTGGAGGATGCAAGGGCAGAGGGTGGATACAAAGGGGTAGGGAGATGAGTGATATTAGGGTGCATGATATGAAATTTGCAAAGAATCAACTAAAAAGTTAAAACAATAGTTTTAGATTGAAAGAGTACATGTAGTTTGTTTGGTTTGGTTTTTTACAAGACAGAGTTTCTTTGTGTAGAGCTGGCTGTCCTAGAACTTACTCTGTATACCAGGCTGGCCTCAAACTCAGAGATCTGCCTGCCTCTGCCTCCTGAGTGCTGAGATTAAAGGCATGTGCTACCACTCTTCAGTTGAGTACATGCAGTTTTAAATGTAGCACTGCTGAAAAAAAAAATGGATAAGCTGTAGCTTATGTGTTAGTTCGGTGCTAGTAAAAGGCTATTATGCTGGCAGACTGGCCTGCCTATAGATCACAGAATCATAGCTCCTTCCAGTGGCGTGTAGAATGTCCCTAAAGAATACTTTGGGGAATAAATTTGAAAGCTTAGTGGCAGGCAGCCTTTTTATTTAAGTGTCCCGTGGTCTCAGGAAGCATTTTCTGGCATGGGCATGTATTACTGTCTTAAATATGTTAGATACAGACAAATATGTAAACACAGATACAAATGGTTTTACTCAGTAATGCTCATTCATATCCCATGTTTCCTTCACTTTAGAACCATTTTTTTTTTTGTTGGTCTAATTATGTAGTAAAAAAGAAAATGGGTCAAAAGTAATGATTTAACTTTTAACATTCATGCTTAAATTATGTGTAAGTTTGGAGACACTGAACAAATTCTCTCAGACAAAGGTGAGTAGAGCTGATTTTCTCACAGAGTATAAGATGGAATTGTAATATTTTACTTTGTCTTCCATAGAATTCTGTTTTGCTCTTGGTTACATAAATCCACTTATCAGTCTTCCTTTGCCTAGAATCTTAAAATTTTTATTTTTTAATGCTAAGCTAAGTAGAATAGAACTTTGCTTTTTTTTTTTTTTTTTTTTTTTTTACCCCAATTGCTTATATTGCATCTTTAAAGGCTTTCCCATCCACATATGTGCATTTCTAAACCAAATGATACATATCACAACAGGCACAGAGAATGTTCCATGTCTGTTGATTAAAAATATAGTCATGGCCAGTATGGGGATTTGAGAAGGACTGATATAGAAGAGAATGCCTTTATTGTTTTGCATTTTGAGACAGGCCTCACTTTGTAGCCTACGTTCCTCTCATACCCATGATTATTCTACCTTAGTCTCTTGAATGCTGGCATTAAAATTGGGTGCCACTACATATTGGCAGGAAGAAATCCTCTTTAAATTGGTATGATTTTTTTTCTATTATGAACTAATCTTAATCAGTCGTGTGAAAAGAGAGGTTGGGTGCACTGTGCCTGTCCACAGCAGAAGTTAGTGCATGTCTGTTCAAGGCACAGCCTAGCCCCAGAGCCTGTTCCTTCTGAAATCTTTGTGCCACATTTTTGCTCCTTTCTTTTCCAGAGAGGGGAATCTTTACTTCTAAAACCACATGTCCACTTGATTAAATGTTTCAGAAAAGTAAGAGAATGTGCAGGCCCTGTCCTGCACTGTCAGTGCCCTTCTCTTTTCTCACAGAGTCAGGGCTGGGAAAGACTGATCTTCAAGGCCTCCTTTCTTTGGTACAGGCTTGTGTGTTGGGTACTGACTTTATAGTGGACTTTCCTCATTCTGGCCTTTCTTCATTCCTTCCGGTTTATTTAAGTCTTTATTTACTTATAGACTTTGTCTGTCTGTTATTCTGTGTATGTAACAAATGTGTGTCACAAAGTGGGTGTGGAGGTAGAGGACAACTTTGTAGATTCTTTTTTTTTTTTTTTTTTTTGTAAATTAATTTTTTTTTTCTGGTTTATTTATTTATTTATTTTTCTTTTTAGTTACATTTTGTTAACTCTGTGTCCCAGCTGTATCCCACTCCCTCATTCCCTCCCCAACCCCACACTCCCTCCCTGGTCTCCTCCCTGCCCCTTTCCAAGTCTTTTCCCTTTCACTTTTTGTGGCTTCTGGAGCTTGAACTGAGGCCAGGACGCTTCCGTGGCAAGTATTTTTGCTCACAGAGCCAGCTTGCTGGTTGTGTACCCCCGTATTTATGTTGCCTTTTCCTTCTAGGTTAAAGTTCAACATCAAAAAGATTAGATTGTGCTCTACTTTATAGACAAGATGTCAGGGATATCCCTTTCTCCTTTCCTTCCTCCCTCCTCCTCCTTTCCTCCTTTCTGTCTTTACTTTTTTTTTTTTTTTTTTTTGAGGCAGTGTCTCTTGTGGCCCAGGCTGCCCTCTAACTCATTATGTGGTGGAGGATGGCCCTTTTGTTCTACTTCCTGAATGCTAGAGTTAGAGGTGTGGGTCATTCCATCCAGTATATAAGGTACTGTAGGTCAAACCCAGGCCCTGTGTATGTTAGACAAGAACTTTGCTACCTGAGAGACATCCCTGACCCCTGGTATGTATTTTCCTTTCCATTTTGCTTAAAAAAACAAAAACAAAAACAAAAACAAAACCCTTACCGTTTTTAATTACTT